ATATAGTGGCCATATATCGCGCTTCTGCCGCAAGCGCCAGCAGGACGAGCGTCGCGGGTACGACATGCGCGAACGGGACTTTTCCAGAGGGGATTCTTACGCTCGGCGTTATTCATCTGGACAGCAGCGGTCTCCATCTCGACCCGCGTCGACTGAGACGCGGAACAATTACCGTTCAAGCCGACGCCGATCAGCTTCGCCCTTCCATCGCTCCTCCTCTCCTCTTCGGCCAGCCTCGTTTACTACTGACAACCGGTCGGAAAACTAAATGATGCAGTTTTCGAAGGAGAAACTGCATGTAACAGTAGGACTCATATTCCTCCAGCCCGCCCGTTCAACATGGTTTCTGTTACGGTGGAAGGAGTTCTCGTGGACGCTTCGGTGGACACCGGTGCTACAGTTTCTGTGGTTAGGTATGATTTGTGCAAACGCCTGAAAAAAGTATTGACACCTTATAATGGACCCAATCTAGTCGAAGCCCAGGGGAACGCTATCCGCCCTTTTGCTCTTTGTACCGCTCGTGTGTTGATTGATGACATTTTGCATTACATCGAGTTCACTGTGCTTACCCGGTGCTCTCACCAGCTAATTCTAGGGTGGGACTTCCTATCTTCTTCTTCAGCCGCTATATGTTGTGGTGAACGGATTCTGCACCTAACTAATACGGACTCCATGTTCGACGAAGGCGTCTACAAGCCTCTACGCCTGTTCGCTCGCGAAGATCTCGAACTACCGCCACATCAAGAACGAATTGTGACCCTGATCTCTAAGGACATCGACCACGGTGACGTCTTGGGGTCCCCTTCGTCGACTTGCGTCGCAAAAGGCATAGCCCTTGCATCAGGTGTCGTACGCTTTCACCATGGCTCCGCGCTCGTCATTGCTACGAATGAAACGCCAGAGAAAGTTCTCCTGCCAGAGGGCACTGCAGTAGCCTGTGTTGTGGATGCTGAGCCTGTCAGCGTCACGCCACTTAACCCTGCCTCTACCAACGACCGTTCTATGAGTAAGCCTGCCTCATCCTCTCCCTTCACAGCTCTTATCAGTGATGACTTAACAGCTATGCAGTTGCTTGCGTTATTAACGAAACACGCCGATTCTTTCGACACCTGCTCCTCAACGTTGGGCCGAACTACCACTGCAGCGCATCGCATTCAGACGGAGAGAACATCTATTGTACATCGCCGCCCGTACCGCGTGTCTCTCGCTGAGCGAAAAATCATCGAGGAAAACGTCGCTGACATGCTCCAACGAGAAATAATTCGTCCATCAACTAGCCCTTGGTCATCCCCTGTTGTTTTGGTACGAAAAAAAGATGGCTCCGTGCGCTTTTGCGTTGATTACCGGGCACTTAACAACATCACACGCAAGGACGTATACCCCATGCCACGCATCGACGACGCCCTTGATTCACTGCAAGGCGCCGAATACTTTTCAAGCCTTGATTTGCGTTCGGGATATTGGCAAATTCCCATGCACGATGACGACAAAAAAAAACGGCATTTGCAACCCCCGATGGCCTATACGAATTTAACGTGATGCCTTTCGGGCTCTGCAATGCGCCCGCGACGTTTGAACGCATGATCGACACCGTCCTGCGTGGTCTGAAATGGAAGACGTGTTTCTGCTACCTTGATGACATTATCATCTTTTCATCAACGTTTTCTCAGCACCTTAGCCGCTTGGATGACGTCCTAACATGCCTCGCCGGTGCTGGCCTGCAGCTCAACACTAAGAAGTGCCGTTTCGCCACCAAATCCATCAAGGTTCTCGGTCATGTCGTCAGCAAGGACGGTATTCGCCCTGACCCCGAAAAGATCGCTGCCGTCCTTCGATGTCCATGCCCCACAAGACTTAAGGATTTGCGAAGTTTTCTTGGCCTCGCATCATATTTTCGTCGCTTCATACGAAATTTCGCTTCAATAGCTGCGCCACTTCACAAACTACTTGCATCTAATGCACCCTATGTGTAGTCCGAGGAATGTCAGTCGGCGTTTCACCTATTGAAGAAAGCTTTGACGTCAGAGCCTGTACTCTGCCATTTTGATGACACCGCCCCAACACTCCTGCATACCGACGCCAGCGGCTGCGGTATAGGTGCTGTTCTCCTCCAACGCGATAGCTCTCGACGGGAAAGGGTCATCGCATATGCTAGCCGAGTGCTAACTTCTACCGAAAAAAACTATACCATCACTGAGCAGGAGTGCCTCGCTGTGGTTTGGTCCATACAAAAGTTCCGTCCTTATCTGTACGGCCGTCAATTCACCATCGTAACGGACCACCACACCTTATGCTGGCTTTCTACAATGAAGAACTTGTCCGGACGCTTGGGTCGTTGGATTTTAGGCCTACAGGAGTACCAGTTTGAGATTATTTATAAATCGGGCAAAAAACATCAAGACGCCGACGCTCTTTCTCGTTGCCCACTACCTACGGCGTCGTTCGACACTCCAGCTGCCACCTCCAACGACACCAGTGCGGACGTGACTCCCACTTCTGTTGCCTTGCTCGCCTCGCTGTACCAACCGCCAATCGACGATGAACAACCCTTCAGTTCTCGCCAGCAGGCTGACCCGTACTGTCGGCGCATTATAGACCACCTTTCAGGAGCTACGCGTCCACCCAATGCACGCCTTCGTCGACAACTCGAGCACTTCAAGTTTCACGACGGTGTGCTGTATCGTCACATATATCATCCTGACGGCCAACGCTGGGTACCTGTTCTGCCACGCGCTCTTCAACATCATGTACTTAACGCCTTTCATGACGATTTGACTGCTGGCCACCTAGGCTTTCACAAAACCTACGACCGCATTCGAAGCCGCTTTTATTGGCCTGGGATTTCAACCAGCGTAGCAAAGTACGTGGGTTCCTGCTCTTTATGCCAACTTCGCAAACTTCCGACATCTCCCCCGGCTGGTAAGTTACAGCCAATGACGTGCCCTACAACACCTTTCGAGGTCGTCGGTGTCGATCTTCATGGAACCCTTCCTGTTACTGGTGCTGGAAATAGATGGATAGTCACCGCCGTAGACCATATGACACGCTACGCCGAGACAACTTCAGTAGCTACTGGTTCAGCATCGGAAGTTGCTGACTTCGTCCTTCAGGCCATAATACTACGTCATGGTGCTCCTCGTGTACTTCTGAGTGACCGTGGAAAGGTGTTCTTATCACAGCTTTTAGGTGAAGTTCTTCGCGTTTCTGGTACCACACACAAGATGGCGTCTAGCTACCATCCTCAAACAAACGGTCTGATCGAGAGATTTCATCAAACCCTTGCCGACATGATCGTCGTATACATTCAACCGGATCACAGAAACTGGGATAAACTTCTACCGTTCCTCACTTTCGCCTACAACACCGCTGTTCAGCGCACAACCGGCTACTCACCGTTTTATCTCGTTTACGGACGTTCACCTACTTTCTTTATAGATGTTTCCTTCTTCACCAGCAATGGCCCTACATCACCATCTTCTTGCGAAGAATATATTTCTCGCCTTGCCCAGTGCCGCCAGCACGCTCGTATAAACACGGAAGCTACGCAACAAGCAAGGAAGGCCGTCTACGACACCTCTCATCGTGTGGTATCATTCCGACCGGGTGACGAGGTGCTGCTATTGTCACCAATTCGCACATCTGGTCTCTGCGACAAGTTCCAGCCTCGATTGATCGGCCCATATGTTGTTTTAGAGCAGACTTCACCTGTCAACTATCGTGTGACGCCTCTTGTTGTGCCACTGACCGCCGTTACCGCAGCACCGAAATTGTACACGTTTCCCGCATGAAGCTTTTCACACGACGTTCCTCGTCACCTTGACTACCCGCCCGCAGTGGCCAGGCTGGCCGCTTCCACGGGGGGGGGGGGGGATCAGTGTAGGCATCTATTATGCGCTTCATCCTCATCTGAACAGCAGTCAATCATCATCATATGTTCTGGCTGACAATCATCATCTTCTTGGCACGAGCGCTTCTTTGTCGGGTCCCTTGCACTTGTTCGTTCCCGAGTTCACGACGAATAAACCTCGTTACAACCGAGTCGTCATAATATATATATATATATATATATATATATATATATATATATATATATATATATATATATATATATATATATATATATATATATATATATATATATATATATATATATATATATATATATATATATATATATATATATATATATATATCATCAGCCTGAATGAATACATCCACTGCAGGACAAAGGCATCTCCCATGTTCCGCCAGTTAACTCGGTCCTGTGCTTGCTGCTGCCAATTTATACCCGCAAACTTCTTAATCTCATCTGCCCACCTAACCTTCTGTCTCCTCCTACTCGCTTGCCATCTCTGGGAATCCAGTTATTTACCCTTAATGACCAGCGGTTATCTTGTCTTCGCGCTACATGCCCGGCCCATGACCATTTTCTCTTCTTGATTTCAACTATGATTCCTTAACCCCCGTTTGTTCCCTAGTCCACTCTGCTCTCTTCTTGCCTTTTAAGGTTACACCTACCATTTTTTTTCCATTGCTCGCTGCGTCATCGTCAATTTAAGCTGAATCCTCGTTGTAAGTCTCCAGGTTTCTACTCCATGTATATTACAGCTGTATCTTACCGGTACTTAGCTACGGAGCAGAAACCTGGAGACTTACAAAAAGGGTTCAGCTAATATATATATATATATATATATATATATATATATATATATATACGTGTGTGTGTTGCAAGACTAATATACTCCACAAGTGCAGGCTCACCATTTTTTTACCATTCGTCCAGACTGTTCAACTGTTAGTCCCACTGGGGAGCATTCTACAAGGACAAACATTTAAACCAAGTAGAGTAAGTGCTAGGGAGTAATAGTTGAACCTTGCAGTTGCTCCCGCAGTTAGTCCGAAATTGGCTCAAAATCTGTGGCAGCCCATTTAGTCCCCTAAAGGACCAATGGCATATCCCACTTTAGTCCTTTTTGGCTTAGAGTGTTCTTGCCCTCTGCGAACAACGCAGTGGTCGAGTTTTATTCGGTCTCGTTTGTGCAGAATAACAACACAGGCCAGTCCATCTTGCATTCCGCCGACGTAGTGGCGCACATTTTACGAAGCCGCTGCTTGTCTATTTTTCCGCTGCCAGTGCGGGGCATCTGACCAAGGAATATAACGCCGCCGTGCAGATGCATGTGTTCCGGGAACCTCGCTGCAAATAAAAACAATCAAAAAGAGACTCAAGTTAAATAGCAAACGGCACTTGTACGCATATTTATCTGAAAGTGTCTTCTGATGAGGCTGCTCAGCCATCATTCTGTTGGAAACACGAAGTACGTACCCGAAACATAATTTTATTTGGACATCGGTCAGTGACCTGTTCAATAAAAGCATAGCTCTAGCTCAAGTGAACGTGTATTTCGCCATCTACATCTTCATCACGAATACCATCTGCCCCCCTTGATCGTGTTGCACGGGACGATCACAGAAGAATAAAACTTTGTAAAAGATGCATGCCAGACTCCCTGACCACGGCTGTAGTATCTTGTGGTTAGAATTTTGTTGCCAGGTTTTTCTTTCAATAGGTAAATTTACCCGCCCCCCCTTCGCACTGATTCCTTCTATTTTAAAGATTTTGGTGTCATTTTGCGGCTACAGCATTCCCACGGGTGTGATTGACGTGAAAAACAAGCAAGTGATCAACATAAAGATGTTTGATCACCCTGCTCACCCTGTGTTCTATAGATAGATATGTGCCAGTGAAAGCGCGCGAGAACAGCCGACGATCGCGTCTCAAGCGTGGATGAAACTCTCTGGGCGTCCTAATTTCGTTGTGTGACAGGCCCATCATGGTCACAATGGGGGGGGGGGGGTGTTACTCTTGCTGCTAGGGGTGTAGCCAAGAAGTGCATACCGAGCACGCTAGAGTTACTGTATATGCTTCCTACGGGATTTGATTTGTGGGGTTTAACGTCCTAAAACCACCATATGATTATGAGAGACGCCGTAGTGAAGGGCTCCGGAAATTTCGACCACCTGGGGTTCTTTAACGTGCACCAAAATCTGGGTACACGGGCCTACAACATTTCCGCCTCCATCGGAAATGCAGCCGCCACAGCCGGGATTTGATCCCGTGACCTGCGGGTCAGCAGCCGAGTACCTTAGCCACTAGACCACCGTGGCGGGGCGCTCCCTACGGGATATGATACCTAAAGGTAGCATATAAAGTAACTCTAAAGCACGTGTCCCTCCCCCCTCCCCCCCCCCCGAAATTTTTTTTTGCCATGGCATCGAGAGCAAAAAGTGACCATTTCAATGGAATGGGGCGGCCTCCCCGAAATCAAGAAGGTGGAAAGCAGCACTCACCTCGTTCCTAAAATCAAAACAGTGGAAAACAGTGCTCACCTTATTCCTTTCTCCTCCCTTTTTCGTTCATCGGAGCTGTGGCTCCAGTTCAATGGCCAATACACAGTATGAACCAACTAGCCCAGCAGCAAGGACTCCTGATATCAGCAGCCGAGCCAGAAATATTCGTTAAGGCGTGAAGAGACGCGGGGGGGGGTAGCAGTGCTCCAATTTGTTGTTTTAATGTTTGTGCCTGCGTTTTCATGTGTTCGCGTACATGTACGCATACAAAATGTAAAAAAAAATTCTTGGTGGGGAGGAGGGGTGCACAACCCGCACCACTTCCCTGTCTACTCCACTGCAGATAACTCGTGGCAAGAGTAATATAATGTACACCAAGAGATGGGAAACGCAGCCAATGATTTCATAACGCTAGATAAAGAAATAAAATTAATCAGCAGGAACAAAATAAAATCAGCTCGCACAAGAAACAGCTAAGTGAACATCATTGTCTGAGACATTTATACTGCAGTGAGCGTAAAAGTACGATAATGATGATGATGAGAGCACCGAAAATGATTTACGCAGGCAGTTCGTTGCGCATTATCTACAACTAAATGACTATGTCCAGCCGCCGAGTAACAAGACGCACAGAAAAAACAAAACAAGGACGCCTCTTTTACCCTGTTGCTTCATTTGTATTGTGTTTGACTCAGTAGTTGAGTAATTAATGCTATAAGCACTCGATAGCACTGTAACATATGTTATGCTCAAAAGATTCGAACTACGAACATTTCCCGAGGCCACCTGAATGCTTGGTCTGCTGCTGTGACTCACCGTGCTCAAAACAGCGAAAGAGATGATTGGCGAACGCTTACCGGCGATCATCTCCTGCAGACGCCGAGCTTTTTTGGTGGTAGCGTCAGCACAATTCTTCAGTACAACCGCGGCCACAGCTGACTCGCCATAAACTTCATGTGGCCGACCAACCACGGCTGCGTCGACCACTCCGGCGCAGGCGAGGAGAGCTTCTTCTAGTTCCGCCGTGGCCACGTGTGTGCCGCCACACTTTACCAGGTTTTTGAGGCGCTCCAACAAGAAGAACTGACCGCGTTCGTCGTAGTAGCCGAGATCTCCTACACGCGTGTACTCACACAGGCACGAAGGATCACACGTGACCAAAAAGGAAAGAAGAAGAACGATTTCAGACATTTATATGCGCAAGCACACACGCATTAATAAAATAACTATCAACTTTGAATATAAAGATAGCAGTTTCGGCTTATAGGTTGCTAGCCATGTAAAAATCGGGGGAAGCGATGCATTGCAATGCATCGTATTGCAGATCATGGGAAGCGCGAATGCGAGGCATACGCGTTGGTGGCAGCTACCTTGTGGCGAAATATTTCAATAGCGTCCAGAGCTACAACTGCTATTGCATCGACCAACCATACTCTGCTTCATGCTTAACTGTCATAGCTATTAATGGTGTCTCTTGTATAGTACTTCTATGCTTACTCACCATGAATATTTGATACAGAAGACCTTTTGTGTTTTAGTTACCTTTGTTGACAGTTTTTTTATTCTTCCTATTTTTGGTACTTTTACTAATCATCAGGGGATCGGAGCGATATTTGGAGATAGCTCGAATAACGACGGTGTCCTGCGACGACTTCTGCAGCTGTATTGCCACGCGCCCTTATTGCTTTATTTTGGTGCAATAATGCCTAAACGACACAAAAAATTAAAAAAAAACACCACTCGGCGCCAGCCGCCATGCAATGTTTCGAGATCTACGCAAATGTCTCTGACCGTTCTGTTACGATTACGCGCAAATACCGGCTGCGGCGGCCACTTTTCGATGAGGGCGAAATGATAGAGGCGTATGTACTTAGATTTAGGTGCACAATGAAAGAACACAAGGTCGTCAAAATTTCTGGAGCCCTTCACTACGGCGTCTTTCACAATCACATTGTTTTGCACGCCAAACCTCAAAAATTATTATTAAGAATACGCACAGTATGCGACTACTCTTCAGTTTATTTGGGAGCTTACGCAAGCACCAGCGATAACTTTAGAAGGTGCGATCACTGATGTATAAAACAAGATGCGCTACACCGTCGATCAGCTCACCAACGGTCAACAACGTCTATTGTCGCTGTCACTGTACCGCGTACTTTGCTTGTATTTGGAGTTATTTAGTTTTCTGGGCACAAGTTAGCCAAATAAAAAAGCTTTGTATCCGCCATAGTGACTGCCGCCTTCTTAAGTCACCACCACGTGACAACGCACCAAGTGTGAGGCATTTCTTGGGGCCACATGTTCTCTCGTTGAAAAGATATGTTCACTTAGTTTTCCAATCGTAATAAATTGGAAGAATTAAAACAACTTACGGGCTACCACACTAGATATAGGCACGTTTTCCTGCGCTAAACTTTCATTGGGAATAGGGTAGTGACCGGTGCCAACACAGTTGGATGAACTGAAAGGCGGAGGGGCTGGCACAAACTTTGAGGGGGAGGGCTCGCCCCTACGGTCCCCCACTCTGGATCCACTACTGTGGCATGGCTTTCGAGATGGTGGGCGCCGTGTTTGGCCCCGGCCGTCCCAATCACCACGCTCCCAAGCAAAACTCAACACATGACCTCCGATATGGGAGATGTGCGGTGGGACACGCCGCGCGCTTGCCATCTCGGAGGCCATCACCTGCATCACTTCGTGCGCCCGGCTACCACCAGAGGGCGCACACACTGTGGACTTCGGCGGCGGTGGAGAATGCGGCAGACAGCAGAGCGCACGGGATTCCAGCATGCGCAATCCCCCCCCCCCCCCCCCCCGCGTATGATCAAGAATCATTACCAGAATCTTCTGGCTGCATTGAAGACAAGTATTATTTTTGTTACTGCATTAATTTTGGTCCAAATCACGAAGAAAAGCATAAGAACTGCTCAATTTTCCTGACGTAATAATATGTGGTATTTGACGTCCCAAAACCACCAAATGATTATTAGAGACGTCGTGGTGGAGGACTCCGGAAATTTCGACCACCTGAGGTTCTTTAACGTGCGCCCAAATCTGAGCACGTGGGCCTACAGCATTTTTTGCGTCCACCTAAAATGCAGCCGCCGCAGCCGGGATTTGATCCCGCGACCTGCGGGTCAGCAGCCAAGTGCCTTAGCCACTCGACCACCACAGCGGGGCGAATTTTCATAATATAGGCCACTGTAAGGAGATATCAAATCGCCTGTGGCAGTATTAGTTTTTTTCCATTATGGTACGTTTCGTATCGGTGCTAAATACCTTGATTTGAGAAATATACATCAATTCTAGCATTACTTTCTGGAAATGGTTTATGGGTGAAAACTGTTCTCGTCGTTGAACCATATTGCACTTCTATCGCGACACGCCATTTCACTATTTTATCTCATACGGATATCTATGAGGCAGACAACCAAAGATCAGTTACGCTGCGGATAACCGAGCGTCCTGGTCATGTCAATGAAGTAAGGTGATAAATAATTTTGCAGAAATATTGTAGAAGGCTTCGATTAGCCAGTCTAATTTTACTCCACATATATTTCAAAGAGATAGTGCTTGAGTTGTCATCGTCTCATTTTTTGTCATTTATATTTTGATTATGTTTTAGTAGCACAATGGCAATACTAGTATCGTGTTCGTTTACTGTCTAATTGAAGTTTTTGCGCACACACACAAGGACACAGAAGAAGGGAACACAAGGACCAGCGCAGTTTACTGTCCTCTCGACCACATTTAAATCAAAGGGTCGCACATGTTGCAGAATGGTGTCTTTCTGAAGAAGAGAAAGTATTCGAAGACTAACCCCCGTATTCTAGAACGTCCCTTCACTCAATGCTTCACCTTCACTTGAGAAAGCTGATGGGAGAGCCATCTCTAGGCACAGCAAGTCACTGCATATCAGCGACAATCTGCTGCGACTCTCGAGTAGCGCAGCTTCATTTTCAGCCGAACAGTGGCGCAGTGCTCAACTTTGTCAAGTGAAGGGCAAAAGTCGAGTCGAGGAACGTTTGTGAATACGGGAGTAAGACTCCTGAAGAAATAAAAAAATGAAAATTGTCGCTGCTAGGTATACCACTCAGTGTGTCATATCAGGTACACCAAACTCTGAACGCATGTTGATTTTTTTTTGAATAAGCAAAAAGATTTTGTAGTTCGTTCTTACATTGCCCCGCGTATCTACTGAACACAGTAATACTCAGAGAGCTAATTGGAGACCATAAGTGACCAAAGCGTGCCTGTGACCAGCCCGTAGTCGTCGCAGGACTGGCGACCTTTAGTCTAGATGCAATCTAGACGTAAGGCGGTGGACCACCTGCTTCCTCCTCCCGGTTTCCTGCTTCTTCGGTGCGACGGGAGGTAGCTGGAAAGGGAAACTGGGGCAGCTTCGTGGGCGAGTGCAAAACGTGGTGCGCTGCCAAGTGTAATTACATCAGCGCGTATGCGAGAAATTCTGGAAAGGACCTTACAATGAAAAACAGCGCTATAGTTCAGTGAAAGGAAAGAAAAAGGAACTCCTTCAATCGAGTGTAACCCGTGAGCGTAGAAGCGGCCCTCTTCTGACTTCGCTTGCGGATCGGGATCTCATCTTTTTTTTTCTTGAACAGTGCCCCCGCATGCTACACAGCCCGCAAACTTCGAAGAATAGTAAATTTTCATGACATACGGATCTCTTGCACAAACATGGCAATTATAACATGGGTGCCGCAAATCTACAGCAAAAAAAAAACAAAGCCCATTTGAGAATACAAACGCCCTAGCATTGACTTTGCTCTCGTACACACTGACCCGACATTTTTATATGAGCGCGAGGTTATATAAAAGCGCGAAACCATCTCTTTTTCTCGCCACATGCAAGCTGCGCCAACAGCACGGCAACTTTTTCGATCCTATGTGGGAACACCACGGTGTGGTGAAATGAGCGGGCCACGCCTACCTCTGAAAATATGTGCGCTCTCTCCGTGCGATGGCCGGAGAGAGAAACACGCCACGCGCCTGCCATTTCGGAGGCCACAACTGCGGTGGTTTTGTTGCGGTGGTGCACGGCTGCTGAACCGAAAGGCGTGGACTTTATTCGGCCGTGCCGGTCGTACTGCGAGGGATTTAACGTGCGATGTGAGCGCACAATAATTCCAACCAACTAACTACAAACCCTATCTCAAAATGTTGTTAATCTATTAACCCCAACTATATGTAAATGCGGCAGACTCCTCGCACAACGAAAAAAAAAAGCGCATTATCTGCCCTGTTCTACATTGCAACTGTTCGCCGTCCTGACCTTGTGTAGTACTCTTCTTCCTTTCACATATGTGACAGCTCTAGCCTTCAAAAATTCAACCAGTTAGAAGATTTAATGTTGCTGTCAGCATACCGGTTGTGTATTTTACTTATAGAGGGTGTTTCTTTTTTTAACAATGCAGACATTTTTTATAAAAGTTCTGTGATAGCATAAGCCAGTGACAGTCTTCAGAGGCGAACTATACCTTGAGGCAAAAATATTTTGCCGCTCATTGAGTCCCATTGAAAATACTAATTTACAAACACCTGGTAATTTCATTGATTATTGACTTGAGGGTAATTGTTTTTATGACATTGTGGTAGGTTGCATCACAACTTATGAAAGTCTCATTTTTTTTTTAGAAATACAAAAGTCTCAAGTACGAGGCATGCATCGTTGAATTTCAGGGCCCCGAAAGCGACGGGTAGAAAAGGTGGCCGCTTTGCTTTGTCAGACTGAAACGGCCCGCGTGATGATAAATGATGAAATCGGCACGTCGTGGCAGTAACGACAGTAACTTGTCGGAGAAAAGGGCAAGTAATCTCACGTGCAACAATCTCTTGCAAATGACTTCTGCGGAATGCCGCAAGGTGGTGGAAGAGTTAGAGAAAAGCTGAAGCCAAATATCAAGAGGCTTTAGGAAAAAGCAGCTTTGTTTTTGCTCAGTCCTACAAACGGGTGATTGTTAATTTTCTTTTCCTAACATATATGTCTCGTTCGTGCTGTGCGCAAGAAAACTGCCACATCCGCCTTTTATTTCCCCGCGCACAGAGTAATACCCCGGAGCAGTCATTGTGGCGCTTTATCTTGAGACAAAAGAAAGCCAAAGAGCGCTGTTTTTTTTTTTCGTTTGGGTCAGTAAGTTCGCTAAACCTGAACCTTTTGTTGTGCATCATTGGTGTTTTTACTTCCCTTATTTTGTAATGTCGTAGAGCACCGTTTCCATTCGAACTTTTTTGTAAATTTGTGAATACGTACCGGTTCGAAGCCAGCCTTCGCTATCAAGTACTTCTGCAGTTTCCGTTGGTTTGTTGAGGTAGCCCTTCATTACGCTTGGAAGGCTGACGACGATCTCGCCGAGCCGTCGAGGTGGAAGTCGCTCGTTTGAATCCAGGTCTAAGACCTGCACATTTGCCAAACTGTCTGTCCTCCGCTACTCACCCAATATTCGCGGCGAGACTGGGCTATAGGTGGCCGCACAATCCCGCGAAAGTGTGGATAGGTGGTCGGCAGTGCGGATACAAATACACGCAGCGGCGCTTCGTTGCGTGTGGTCTGAGCCGATTGTCGGCAGATAAAATGCTTTGAATACAGTTTATTGTTAATATCTACGCTCTTCTCTACTGAATAGGTGCGCGACGCCTATGCAACGTTAACATTACCCGTGAGTTAAGCGCATTCTGCATTTTATAGGGATGCTCGCCCTGGGTGACTCTCTTCACGTTTTCGCACTAAATCACGCCTTTGCCGTGTTGTTTGTACGTGGTTAGCTTGTATTCCGCCCGTTATGCACTGGTGTAGCGTGACTGTACTACTTATCTACATTTTTGCCGTCTGCATACTACAAAAAAGAGACAAAGAAAGATCGTAGAAAGCCCGCATATCTGTGATTAGTTCAATACCACCATTTGCACCTTATACGCACATATGATCTTTTTTTTCTCTCATTCTCTTCATCATGAAATTTGGGACAGTCGATAAGTCTAGTCAGGAAAGCTTACTGGCTGACGGCGCTTTGCGCTACACTGCGTTTACCACGTACGTGTACGCACATGTTCTTGCACCAGTAAAATATAAAGATCTTATATAATAGTTCAACAGAAAGCTTTATTCGATGGATTACGTGCGTGACAGTGCTACAACAAAGGCCTGGTTAGTGGGAGAAGCATGTTTTTTTTTCAGACAAAAAATGACCACTGCTTTCCGTCGGTCGTTAACAATGCCACACTAACGCTGAAGATATTGTAAAAAAACAAAGTTTTCACTGAAATCATACGACATTATATATAAGGCATGCCATCTGATATAGTTTTCAGCGTCTGAACTTTTTAAAGCGTTCTTAAATCTAAGCACACGGTTGTGCACAGTAAAACTGTTTTAACTACAGTTTAAGTACCGATATGTCATAGTTTCTGTGATAATAATATTTATATATAGTGGTACCACGGCCAGATAAACACAACTAGGGCTCCTCGCATGATCAATAAACTACAGTGCCATAATTGTACACCTATACCAACAACGCGCAAGTGCATGGGCCAGAGTTTGTTCTTTTTTATTTTTTTACAACCGAGTCGCTATAAAACGCTGCATTCACACACCATTTAATAGTCCTCATGTTTGGAAAGATGCCAAGAGCATTTTGAGATGTGCTTGAAACAGAAAACGGCACCCACTTTGAAATTATTCTGCTGAATGGAGGGTACGATGACTATAAACAGCACTCTGGAAAGTTGCACTCGCCAATCTTATTACAATGCATTAGCAGCCGAGCAAGACCAAATGATTTCATACGTCGTTTCAGGCATACGTAGAAACTGTTACACTCGCGCTTACATGACCAGACAAACCATACTTTGAGATTGTGCATGACGTACGCACACATAGAAACGCGACATGGCTAGCAGACGACGCACGGAGCAATCCACACTTCGCGACTTCGGCCAGTTGCCGCCAGGCGGCGACTCTGCTTGATCTCGCGGCAAATTGGCTCGCTTTTGAAACTGTTTATGGGCGACTATCCGTCGGAACAATTCTGCAATCACGCTTCGCCATCACCTTCTGTTTGTCCAAGACCTAGTTTAATTCCATGCAGGCCACTCGGCCAATCGCATCCGATATCATATCATGGTCTGGCGCTACAGAAATGCGTGAAACAGTAGCAATGCCTTCTTTTTCACGGCCTGACCTACCTATTCATGACGAAGTGAAAACGATCATAATCATCATATTTTGCTGACAAATAATATGCTTCCCAATCGCGCGGTCAGCAATCACACACCTTCAGAAATACGAAGACTTTTGCCAGGAAGCTCAAAGCATGATGGTATACGCTCGTTAAACACGAGGTAGGTACTTGTCTAAATTATTCATGGGAGTTGCAGGAGCCTCGTAGGGCTCAAGTCACAATGTAAGCCTGGAATACATCTAAGTTTTTTCATTAGCATAGCTACTCAAGTGACAAGGGAGATATGGTTTTGTATGAGGTAATTTTTCTATGCATAAGTAACCTAGCGCAGCACATATCCCAGAAAACATATTATTTTTCGTAGGACTCACTCGTATCACATCACACAAAATATTTGAAATCATCGTCGGCAGCCTAACTACGCAACTTTTGTTACGGCCTATAGATATCTTGCACGTGACGTCACAAACGCCCAACATGGCTCCAACATGGCGGCTTTGGTGACGTACAGTGCAGTATAATCACATGGTGATTATTCTCCTTCACTATGATAACCACGTCGCTGGAAGATTATTGGGTATCCATGCATAAATGACAAAGGAACGCACATAAGGGTTGACGTCACAAAGTTCACGTCCCGCCACGTTGGTGCTCCAACGTGGCTTTTTGGGTGAGCTGCAAGCCATATATTTGTTAAAGCATTGCCGGCTATTTCAGTCTTTGGATCATTCCACTTACTAGACGCCGACCAAAAGCGCTGATGGAGAGCACGCACCTTCATCTGCACCAGTGGCCCTGGATAGCCTAGAATGCTGGAGGCCAACTGTCCATCGAGGAAGCCGGCGACGACGCCACAGGCCTCGGTCAGCCCGTAGCACGACCCCAGCCAGGTGAGTGTGAAGGCTCGCTTAACAGTGGCGCGTATACTTGCCGGAAGGCCATAGCCTATCGAGACCACCTTGCGCAGTGACGGTACAACAGCGTGATTGCGAAGGGCGCAATCAGCTAGTTGATGCAGCAGCTGCGGCGTCGCTATAATGAAGGATACCTGCAGCGGACCAGAGCGTAACAGGATATTGAGAATGCCACATTTTTCTTTGCCTCATCGCTAAAGCCTCAAATATGATGAGCCGATAATTGTTGACTAGGTAAACCGGCAAGAACGATGTGGCCTAGCGGCAACCAACCGCGCCATACAACTGTCTATGTGAGTCGCATGTAGGCTATTGAATTAGGTCGACTGTACTGAAAACATTGGCAGGCTGTCAGCGCTCAAGGCAAGTAACTCATGAAAATGTGTAATATACAGCACACCTTGCAAAAAGATATGCGTATACTAAACTTTGTGGCCATAGACCTTAGTGATTCAAGGAAATGTTGTAGGCCCGTGTGCTCAGATTTGGGTGCACGTTAAAGAACCCCAGGTGGTCGAAATTTCCGGAGCCCTCTACTACGGCGTCTCTCATAATCATATGGTGGTTTTGGGACGTTAAACCCCACATATCAATCGTCATTTTAGCGATTCAATCTGTCGCAACCTCATAAGCACACCTAAAAAGTGCAGGCACAGCCAGACCGGTAAAGGGCGAATTTGGGATAGGGAGGTGTGGGAATTGAGGCTAGCCCACTGCCATTGCGCGGGAATTTGCCGCCTATTTCTGCCGTCCTTATGTCCCGACATGACTGCCCTCCTTCGTGGTCGGTTGCGCTAGGGGAGCGGGGAGTGACGTTTAACACCTCTCACCCGGTAGCAGATTTCGACTGTAGCGCCGCGCGCGGAGTCTCTAGGAACGTTTCGCGCGCGCGCGTCAGGAGTGAGAGAGAATTTCTCCGGGACGACATGAGGTATGCACGCATTTCTTTTCCGTCCGTCGGCTCCCTTTGTGTGGGGCTCGTTCGGACTTCAGCAACGACGCCTTGCGTCCTCGGCGAACGCTTAACTTTTCTCGCCCCCCCCCCCCCTTTCGGACGCTAGGCCGAAGGGCTGTGCAGTGTCCTAGCGCGTGGTCATACTACGCCGACCCGTACCTCTCGGAAGCCAACGCGAGCAGAGTTTTTGTCCTCGCTCGAGAGACCGGGCCCTTTTGTCCCGTTGTCCCCGTGAAACACTTTTGCCCACGGAGACGTGCTCGCAGCACCCTGTGTCATACTTCTCACCCGTGGCGTGGATAAGCCCATTTGCTTTCCCGCCGCGCCTTTTGCAACAGGCTCTGGCTCTGTACTGCGTTTTGGTGTTTCCGCAGACAGTAAAGTGTAGCGATCTTGAGCAATACCGTGTTCTCGCCGCGGCAACGGTTAACGTGTGCCCTGCGGCTCGCAGAGACCGGTCCCACGCTAGTGGCCGTGATCCTTCGGGATACGTGTACAGTATCACTAAGACTGGTCTCGCATTATTGGCCATTCTTCTTCGGTATACGTGTACAATACAATCATGAAATGGCTGAGATGCTACGTGCACACACTTTTTGTGGGTTATTTTATTATACTTATAGAAAATATATCAGCACGTCCCTCTTTGCAGTTTGTTCACGGTTACTGCACTCGCTTGAATCAATTAAAATTTCTGTTGTCTGCTCGCAACACACGTGTTGCAATCTAACGTTACAGATGGCCACAACAGGTTCATTGGGGATTCGCGCGGAGTTACCATCATTTACATTTTGGTTCACCTCGCTTATCACTTGTCTTGAACGAAGCCGAGTGAGGTTTCCTGTTGTCGGTGAATCCAAGTGTAATCACAGCCGTTTTGGGAATTTGTCGCCTACCCTTCGCTATAACATTTAGAGTTCCCGCGCCTTCAGCTCCGAGTCCACTTGACGTGTTTGTCTTTTTGCCGCCACTTCCCGCGAATTACGTTCGTTTTTGTCCATGGCAGAAAGAGAATGTTCCATGGTCGTCATCGGGTACCTTGCATGTGCTAACGCTCTCCTTTTTCATCGTCGTCAACGTCATCATCATTGCGTATAGTGCACCGTGCATGTGCTGTGCATCTGCCAATGAGCTTACTGTTCATTGTCATCAGTGTCATTATCATTGCCGGACAACGAACAAGCCTATGCCCTCAGGTGCTTCACCACTAAAATTGGCAGATTCGATGTATTATGAGAATTCATTTCATGCGGAACAGTCAGCTCTGCTTATGGAACGGAATAGAAAAAAAATTACGGCATATTCACGGGGTGAATGATGATGAATGGGCGAAGCTCCGGAGGGATTCATCGGTAAACTGTGAATCTTCCGTGTAATTCGCCCAGTCGATCATCATGTAAAGACGTGAGAAACGCTGTGTGTGTATATACACAAATCAACTTTTATTTGTTCTTAGACGATGGATGGCTTGCGATGTCCCTTGCCTCGCGCGCTCGCACATCGGGATTCTGTCGGCGAGCGCGCGCTGCTGCCGCCTTGCGCTCTCTCCGCTGTGCAGCCTTATCCATCCGGCGACTCCGAGCGCGCGCCAACAGCGAACGGATTTTATTACAACGCTCCCCCTAGCGTACGTCGCCGCACTAAATCGAACGATTGCCTTCAACCAATGACACGCGCCATATGTGACATCATTCCTATTTTATAAGATCTCGCGTCTTTCATCAACTACAAGTACCGCTTTCTAGTTTATAACATCTTGCATCTTTTCATCATCAGCTACAAGTACCACCATCTAGTAAACACTACAAGAACTAAACGAGAGGTGGCTACATGGATGGATGGATGGATATGGCTGTACCCTTTAGATCGGGCGGTGGCTAGCGCCACCAAGCCGTAATACCTAATGAACCAAAAACTATATTTATTTTTTTTCCTTAAAAAGTGAGTTTGAGGATTCGTACTTTGCAGTGAAGAGTTTAATTTTCACTCGTGTCTTGACTTTAGCCACCAATCAGATAACCTCCTTCTGGTTAAGTCTACACGCTTAAAATTTATTTTGCCCTCCCGGTCCCTAAACCCCAGTGCTTTGAACAACTCTGCGCCATCATCCTGAACTATAGGGCGAAGCCCTTTACAGAACATTATCAAGTGTTCGGCAGTTTCTTCTTCCTCTCCACACGCACTGCATACTGTGTCTACCCCTTCGTATTTGGCCCGATATGTCTTGGTTCGCAGTACTCCCGTCCTGGCCTCAAACAGTAGAGAACTACCGCGAGTATTATCATAGATCCTTTCCTTGGCAATTTCTTGCTTAAAAGTGCGATAGATCTCTAATGTGGACTTCTTAATCATGCCCATTTTCCACATGTCAGTCTCCGTTTCCTTCACTTTCTTCTTAACCGATAGTTCTTTTTGGTTTGGCCACCTGCTGTTTTCTAAGTATTTACCAGTCAACTTCCTGGTTCGCTTCCTCCATTTTGTATCGACATTCTTCATGTACAAGTAGCTGAAAACCTTCCTAGCCCAGCGCTCTTCCCCCATTTCTCTCAATCGTTTCTCAAATTTTATCTTGCTGCTAGCTTCCCGGCCCTCAAATGATGTCCATCCCATATCACCTTGTACTCCCTGATTTGGTGTATTCCCGTGAGCTCCTAAAGCAAGCCTACCTATTCCACGTTGCTTAATTTCTAATCTTGCTTGAACTTCTGATCTCATGCACAAGACCGCATTGCCGAACGTCAGTCCAGGAACCATGACCCCTTTCCATATTCCTCTCACAACATCATACCTATTGTAATTCCACAGTGCCCTATTTTTCATGACTGCTGCATTCCTGTTACCTTTAGTCGTCATGTATATTTCGTGTTCCCTCAGATACTCGGTCTCATTGCTTATCCATACGCCCAGATATTTGTATTTATCTGTTATCTCTAGCGTGACCTCCTGTATTCTAAGCTCACTACCTTCGTTGTCATTGAAAATCATGACTGCTGATTTTTCCTTACTGAATCTAAAATCTAACCTATCTCCCTCATTACCGCAGATGTCCATCAATCTCTGCAAATTTTTCTTGTTGTCGGCCATTAGCACTATATCATCTGTGTACATCAATGCTGGTAGTGCCTTTTCAGTGCGTTTTCTTTGTTTGACGAAAGAGAGGTTGAAGCCCAGTCCACTTCCCTCAAATTTGGCCTCAAATTCTTGTAGGTATATTATGAATAATAAAGGTGACAGGGGACACCCCTGCCTAAGCCCCCGTTTTACCTCTGCGGGCTTGGATACCTGTTTTTCCCACTTTATAACTACCTTGTTACCTTTATACATATCCTTCAAAAGATTAGTGACTCCATCTTCTACACCTAGTGTGTCCAGAGTTCCCCACAAGTCCTCTTGAACCACGCTATCGTATGCTCCCTTGATATCCAAGAAATGCTAGCAGGAGGTGCCTGTGTTCCTTTTCTCATATTTCGATACGTCAGTGAGAACAGATTGTCTTCCAAGCTCCTGTTTCCGAAACCCATTCTGCGGTTCCCCCAGCACCCCCTCATCCTCTATCCACGCCTGCAGTCTTTCTTTTATAATTTGCATCGCCAGCCTGTAGACCACTGATGTCACTGTTATAGGACGGTAGTTGTTTATGTCAGCTTTGTCCCCCTTTCCTTTATAGATCATGCTCATCCTGCTAAGTTTCCATCCATTGGGAACTTCCCCATCGATTATTATTTTGCTCACTGCCTCTCTCAGAGCCTGCTTAGATTTCGGACCTAATGTCTTTACCAGCCTAATTGGAATGCCATCTGGGCCTGTTGATGTACCACCAGGAACCCTTTTCTCAGCCCTTTCCCACTCTTGTTGTGAAAATGGAGCCATTGCACTACTTGATTCGTCCTTGTCTATTGTGGTGCATAAAGTACCTCTTTGTTGAAATTTTTCTGTCACCCTTGTTCTTATATATTCAATAGCTTTGTCCCCTTCTAGCCTAGCACCTTGGGCTGTAGTTATAAAACTCTGCTCTAGGCTCGTCTCATTTCTTAGGGAGTTTAGATGGTTCCAAAATTTCGCAGCTGCCTTTCTATCTTTTTTATGTAGTTCTGTCAGCCACTGAGCTCCCTTCCTTCTAATCTTTTCATTGATCAGAAGGGACGCATCCCTTCTACAGCTTAGAAAGGTTGCCCATTTTCTTTCAACATCATCTGTCGGTTCACCCCGCTGCTTAGCATGTCTGTGTTCCCTAGAGGCTTCCTGACGTTTTGCTATGGCTCTCTTAACTTCCTCGTCCCACCAACTTTTGGGTTTGTGTCTTCTTTTCCGGGGTGATTTGTCACGCGTCTTAGCAAGCTCTAGCTCAAAGAGCCTAATTAGATTCGTGTATGTCCACACTGTCTTATTATCCTCCGTGATTACTTTCTCAATTTGTTTAGTGGCTATTTCAATTTGCCTTTCTGTATAAAAATTTTCCTGTAGTTGCTCATCTTGTCTCCTTCCCACTTTCACTGCTCTTCCAAAACTTAGCTTGATACGTTTGTGATCGCTACCCAGACTTCTGGAGCCACCTTCATCTATGTGCATTCCCCTGAGCTTATCATACATCCTATGTGACATCAGTGCATAATCTATCGTCGACTGAAGCCTTCCTACCTCCCATGTTATTTGCCCTTCACACTTCTCGGTACTGTTGCAAATGATCAAATCAAGCCTTTCACACATATCCATGATCATTTTGCCTGTCGGGTCAGTATACCCATCTATATCTTCTATGTGCGCATTCATGTCTCCTAGTATAATCATCTCGCACTCTCTTCCTAACTCCTGAATGTCCTTTGATATACACTCTACCATTGCCTGGTTTTCATCTCTGGCCTTTGCTCCCGTCCACAAGTACACGAAACCAAGGAGTGTCATTTGACCTGCCACTTTCCCTTTTAGCCATAAATGTTCCTTGCACTCCTGCTTGACCCTTTGCCAGTCTGTACTTTTATGAATGAATGCCCCAATACCACCCCCCTTTCTGCTGCCTTCTGTTCTATTACAATATTCCCACGCGTAGTCCGGATTGTTCGGAGGTTGTTCCACGTCCCTGAGATGTGTTTCTACAAAACCGTATACCATCGGCCTCTCTTCCCTTAGCTGTTCTTCTATCTCTTCCCACTTCAGCCTGTTCCTACCACCCTGCATGTTAATATACCCTATGTCTGAATTGGCTCGGCGCTCGTGGCTCCGTCTATTTATGCCCCGGACTCTACCTATCTTAGATATTGGTGCCACTTTGGAATCGTATCTGTCCATACCACCTGTCGAAGAGTCTCCCTGGTTGTTTTCCTCGTTACTAGCTATCCTGCCCCCCGAAGGGCTCGCTTGCCCTCCAAAAAAGCTACTGCGCGTCCTGCAAGTCGCCAACCCACCTCATGACCTAGCCGCCCATCGAAGTGAATTCTGTCTCGTTGAAAACCCCCCCACCTATGCACCTCTCTGTTTATTTCCACCACCTCAAAGCCTTTCTCTCGACTCATCCGCCATATCTCTTGGTTTGCGTTGACCACCGCTCTTTGCAGGTTGCTATCACGCACCGGTACCTCCGGTATCGTGCATATAACTACCTGTACCTTAGGAGAAGTGGCGCGCATGTCATCGACGCCTTTCGCCAGTGTGGCTGCTAGTCCTTCTGCATCTTCATTGAGGACATCGTTTAAACCGCCTTAAATTATCACGAGGTTTCGTCTATCAACTGTCGTTTTGAGCTTTGCGCTCGCTTGCCTCATGACTGCTTCCAGCTTGCGTCCTGGGAACGCTCCTACCGCAACCCTCTTGTCACCTCTTACCCTCTCTTTGATGGCTTCTGTGCATCGATTTAAATTCGAGTCCCCGGCTATTATCACATGCTGTGACTTTTCAGCTGGAGGGTTCTGTACCTGAGGGCTACTTGCACCTGTGACGCCGGCTGCTTTGTTCCCTCCCTGCCCCACCACTACCTCGCTGAAGCTGGGCCTTGCGACAGTTGAACCGGCTAAACCTGTTTTTTCCAAACTTGCTTGCTTTTCCTTCTCCACCGTTCTGGTTGCCGGTTCCCTACTGTTCTCTCGGTAGGTCGCTTCTTTGTTCAGCTTCGCTAGCACTTCCTCGGCGGACTTCAGTCTTTCTCCCAATGCCCTCGTTTTCTCTTGCTCTGTCGCCACCGCAGTCTCGAGCTCGGCGATTCTCCTCAGCAGTTCACTCTGGGCAACCATCATTTTCTCCATTTTTTCCTCGACCTCACATTGCCTACACTTCGCGTCAGCCTCTTCTCCATCCGCTTCTACGCTTGGGTCCACTTTCAAACCCACTCCACATCCTGAACACTTTACAGTCTTTTTAACCATACCTTTCTTACACCAATTGTCCCTATACTCAATAATTACTAAACTCGAGCCCTGCACTTCGAAGAAAAAAAAAGGAAAGTCTAAGCTCTACTACAAAAACTTGCGTGTTCAATGTACGTGCACCTCCCCCACAGGGTGGCAAAAAAAAACCCAACAAAAAAACAAAAAAAAATTCAAACACACACACCCGCACTAACTAATAAATACCTGGTGTCTGGCCCCCGAAAAAGCCGTACCATAAAATAAGTACTACGAAGATTTCAAGCGCTGCCTTATAATTATAAAGACAAGCTCAAAACATGCAAAAACACTTATCTGCGCAGTCGATCCGGAGCGCTCAAAAAACACGTCCATCCACCTTGACAGCCTGAACTGAACCCCCTGAACTGACAGCCTGAACTGAACATACAGGAGACGGTACCGCCATCTAGTGAACACTGCAAGAACTAAACTAGAGGTGGCTACATACAGGAGACGGTACCGCCATCTAGTGAACACTGCAAGAACTAAACTAGAGGTGGCTACATACAGGCTACAGGGGACACACAGCCCACGCCCTAAGGAGCTTCGCCCCTAAAATTAGTGAGGTCCATCGGGGCGCGAACTAGCACGTAGAGGACTGCTCCCACTCTTATAGACAGATAGCTTTTCGGCCACATCGCGGGCACGTTGGACTGCCCATATAGCTCTGCTGTCAAATCCGGACTGTGCCAAATCCGGACGAAAGGCGAGGCACGGTGTTGTCCTCTTTGCTTTCCGTGCCTCGCCTTTCGTCTGTTTCTTCTAGAACCTTCGTGCTCGCACTGCAGCCCTTATTACTCCTAAGGCAAGCCTATCTATTCCACGTTGCTTAATTTCTAATCTGCACGAGTAGACCGTAGTCTACTCGTGCAGCGCCACCACGCGGCTAAGCTGAGTGGAGGAGGAGTGTGTGCTCGACAGCCTGAAGAGAGCGTTCTCCCGGGCACTGGAAAAAAAATAGAGGAGGCACTGCTTAGATGAGCCAGCGCCTCCTCTATTACGGTGAGCACGCATTTCTTTTCCGTCCGTTGACTCCTATTGTTCGAGGGCTCGTCAGACTTCACCAACGGTGCCTTGCGCCCGCGGCGAACGCTCACTTTTTGTTTCCCATTTCGAACACTAGGCCGAAGAGCGGTGTGGTTTCCGAGTGTGTGGTCATACTGCGCCGACCCGTATCTCTCGGAAGCCAACGCGAGCGGACTTTCTTTTTTGACCTCGCTCGAGCGACTGAACCGATTTGTCCCGGTGTCCCCGTGAATCACTTTTGCCCACGGAGACGTGCTCGCGGCAGCCTGTGTCGTACTTCTTACCCGTGGCGTGGATAAGCCCATTTGCTTTCACGCCGCTCCTTTTGCAATGGTTTCTGTACTGCATTTTGGTGTTTCCGCAGACAGTAAAGTGTTGCGACCTTGAGCAGTACCGTGTTCTCGCCACGGCGATGGTTGACGCGTGCCCTGCGGCTCGCTAAGACCGGACCAACGCTAGTGACCGTATTCCTTCGGGATACGCGTACACTACAGAGTTCACCAGCTTGATTAGTCTAATCAATTACAAATAAAATGAGAGCGAATATGCAGTATTCAAAATGAGTAAGAATGAAGCATGTAACTTCAGTCAAGTTACATGGTCAGGGTTTACGGGCACTTGGGTCTCAGGCTCCCTAAGTCACGCGTGCAGTGTATCTTGGCTCACAGCACACCATTGTGTTGAGGCATTTCAAGATACTTCATTAAATAAATAAAACAGTTTTTTCGATAATGTAACATCTTCTAATAGGTACAAATTTTGTGGTGTGGATTTTAAACCAGAAGCCGACAGGAAAAAGTAGGGTGAGGTGAAACTGAGCCGAAAAATTTTTGAGTTTGCCAACGAGAACGAACAACGGTCTGACCTTGTGCTGCTTGAAGGCGGAGATGAGCCAGTCCACCGGTTTCCCAGGCTGCCCTATCACGGTGGTGGCTCCGAGGCACAGGAACGTTAGTGCGGTGCGAGAAGAGCTGATTAAAGTCAGGTGCCGTGGGATGAGGGTCACGTCTTTTTCATCCACTGCTTCCGTAGCCCTGCGTGTTTGGAAGGTATTATGTCACAGAGAACATGCAACGACCTATTTTACAATGCGTTTAGAGCTCCCTTCGCCTTTGGGTGGCCATATTTTCTAACAATATACCGAGCGTCGTAAGCGGCTAAATTCCTTATTACCGATCTAGCGCAGTCACCGTTTGTGGATCCAGTAAACTGGCACGACCATTCAGGGGAAGCAGACGCACTGCCTTCGCTAGATATCGGCTCAGTTATAGCTAGGCCTGCCGTATTCATGATGAAGCAGTGAGCGAAAAAACTTTATTAGGCTCAGAATAGACGCGAGTAAATGCAACGTTCTCCGGCTATGCCCACTCGGGGACCTTATGACCCTCGCGCAGGCCCTCTGGTAAGCCAGGATTTCAGAGGTCAGGACCTGAGTCTTAATGAGCTTCTTCATTTCCTCTTGCATGAAAGAGTAACTGGTTGAGGGGCAGCCCCCATGACATGCTCGAAGTCCGCATAACCACCACGCAGAGGGCAGTCCGGGCTTGGGAATCATTCGAGGTATATTGTGTGCAATGCCGCAGAGCTCGGGTAGGTGCTTGTTTATAGCAGTCTGAGAGTGTTTGCTTCGGCCCTGCACAGCGAGTATTGTGGCAGGGGCAGCACTCTGCTTGAGAAGGAATGGTACTTAATGCATGTCTCATTGTACGAGAGGAGAGGCTCGGGTCGCCCAAAAAATGGTGCGTTACCCAGCACATGGTCACGGAGCAGCTGTCGAGAGAGTCATGGCAAAAAAGCTCCATCACCAAGCACGCAAGAATATCGCGGCTCTTCACTTTTCTTCAATGCAGTTCCCACAGAGCCCAGCAAAAATGCGCTGCTGGCAAGAAGCACTGGAAATTCCGCATCCGTATTCCTAAACCACTCGTATGAGAGACTTGTTCGCAAAAGAAAATTTCAGCCATTCATGACTATGGTCATATTAACGAAGGTGGCCAAAATGATAACGATTCCTTACAAAAGATAAGGCAAGCATCCATTCCTTTTTTCTTTATTGATAACTTCTTGGCTTCAGTGAAAGAAGAAAAAAAAACACTCCCGTTATTTCTGTGTTTGCACTGCCAGTTGGCTTTATATCATGCTTTGATACAACGTCACGAACGAACCGTACGTCGAGCTGCCTATATTCCAGCCCACAACAGCTGCCCGGGCTACGTAATTTAACTTTGTGGCACATCAATTATCTTCATTGATCTTTGTTCGTTTCCTGTGCGGGTACGTCCGGCATTTATTCTGCAACATTCCTCAAGTAACGATAGGCTTCGTCAATCGTGTGTGAGTTTCCTGTATTTAAGCTAGGCGGGCTTGGTGTTCTCTTGTAGGGTGAGCACTATAATAGGTGTTTTTACGTTGGCTTCAATGTTTATAAGATATTCGAAAGAATATATTTTCTCGAAAACGTGAACGTGAAAGATAATTTTGAAGGAATCTTGAGATTTGGGGCCTTCCAGAGAGAACGCGGCACCGTAATCGGCCCCCGTGCGTATTGCGTACAACAATGCTGCAAGGAGAGTTCGCGCAGCACTAGCCATTTCAAACTATCCTATCTACTGGATATCTGAGTGCCCACTAGGCCAAACATCTTTTCTTTTCCTTATTGGCGCCGTACCCACTTCTCATCCGCAAGGTGCCACGTGCAGTTGTGTCTGTAGGCTGCGCACTTTGTAAGGAGTGGAGAGCTTTAAACCACCCACTTGTTGCGCAATTCAGATGCCTTAACACCTGGTGCGATTCTATGATTCTGTCAATATTACGTGCGTTAAAACAGCTTCCACTACGTGACGTTTGTTTATTTTTTAATAATTTTTATTTACACAATACTGCAGGCCCAAAAAATGGGCCCAGGCAGAAGGCGAATGTACAAAGCAATGGTATTATACAAGGCAAAAGGCAAACAAGCATTAGGAAGTCGAGAATACATATTGAGCAAAAATAGCACTAATCAATGTAAAACAGCCCCGCCGTGGTGGTCTAGTGGCTAAGGTACTCGGCTGCTGACCCGCAGGTCGCGGGTTCAAATCCCGGCTGCGGCGGCTGCATTTCCGATGGAGGCGGAAATGTCGAGGCCCGTGTGCTCAGATTTGGGTGCACGTTAAAGAACCCCAGGTGGTTAAAATTTCCGGAGCCCTCCACTACGGCGTCTCTCATAATCATATGGTGGTTTTGGGACGTTAAACCCCACAAATCAATCAATCAATGTAAAACAAAAACAAGCATGAATATAAAAAGTAACAACGCAGTGAAATAAATGCAAAGTTTTAACATACTCCAAATTGGGGCGGCGTTGATAAGAGCGTGTCGTACGTGGTTACGCATATACACGTGAAAAAATAAAGAAATAGAACGATTTTAAGAAGTCTTAGATATAAAAACACGGAATCGCAAATAAGTGAAGGTATACAATTTCGAAAGCAAATTAAAGCTATGACGTGGCTCAGTGGTAGAAGATCTTCCTCCTCGCAGGCAGCCTGGGCTCAATTCTCACTTCGAATCAAATTTTTTATTATTCATTTTATTTGCATGTTTCTCAATTTTTTGGACACGGACAAAAATGATTTTTCGCTCACAACCAACTACGCTAACACCGACGCCAAGATTTCAGCAAAATAATTCATTTAATGATATCACGTAAAATGTAGACTGGTAGTTGCGGCGTACGTCCATAACTGTTAGAACCACGCAAATCGATAGCCATTCAGCTAAGACTCATACGTTAGCTCTCAAATTAATTAATTTATTGGACATATTGCGATTGGCTCATTGCGGTCAAGGAACCTGTCAGACATGTCCCCTTGAAATAGAGATCTGAGGGCGATGCAAATTTTGATATATGCGTGATCAAACTTGGTGGTATAAAAATGCACAATTGTTTCAGACTCATCTTCTTAAAAAAACACAAAAAAACAACACTGTTTTGCACATTCAAGTGCAAAATTGGAACATGCATTACGTAGCACACCTCGGAAACGAATATCCCGATACTGGAGGTGCCATCGAAATTCGTTTAATATAGGTATACGCCTTGAGTGATCGACTACAATAATTTGTCAATTTTTATATGAGCTGAAAAGTAGAGAATTCAATAATTGACTGTTTTATATAAACAACTGCTAAGCTTTACACACATGCGCAATTTATCTGACTATCCATTAAAGAAATCTTCTTTCTCGGGCCTCCCTGTACTTCCTCATTTATTCCTCTTCCTCCTCCTCCTTCTTTCTCGGAAAGCCCATTTTTAAATGTTATTTAGTATACCGGTAGAAAAGGCCGGATTACGGCTTGCGGGACACTGATCTCGTGAACGGACTGGTTATAAACGAAATGTATCGGCGCTTTCGTCCCCCCCCCCCCCCCGTCTGTAACTGGGGTCCACCCTTGAGCTATAGGAAACACAGATTTCACAAGCGATGTAGTACAAAGCCCGCTACAAAACCCGCGAAATGCGTACGCAGTTGCTCGAGCCCGGCTTCGCATCGCCACTTTTTCATTCGCTCCCCCAAAAATGGTCTTAGTAAGATAGGCTTCATTTCTGAACAAGTCGAACAGCGCCCACTGAACAGCGAACGTGAAAAAAAAAAACAAAGAAAAGTGCTGGAGCAGTCGAGCACAGCTTGCAAAAAGAAAAAAAAAAAAGATATTTATCATGAGCTGTGAGCACGAAAATAGTTTGCTGAATCAATGCCAGCGGTCTTTCCAATTTTGCGCTGCTAGTATATACGCTTACTATGAAATGTGGACCGAATTTTTATGTAACCATTTTCGCCACGTAATGTATTTCTTTCACGCAGTGCCTCCCAGATATGCCAGTATATATATATATATATATATATATATATATATATATATATATATATATATATATATATATATATATATATATATATATATATATATATATATATATACCGGGTGTCCAAACTAACTTGACCCAAGATTAAAAAAAAGCCCTATAGAAAAGTTTTATCAGTTGTATATTAATGATGGTCATGTGTACATACAACTTCTATGTTTTCGAACTTGCTCCTTTTGCTCGCGGCTTGTCCTACGAAGGCGGCCGGCGTGTGCACCAGTGTTGCCAATGTGTACACTTCTGCGGTCGAGCTTAGCGTCGCCTCTCCGGTGATTCCAACAATGCTCGCGCGCCGCCACCCAAGGCGCTAGGGTGCCTCGATGCACGCGCCCCGGGGTGGCGCGCGTCGAGAAACCCTACAAGGCGTTAACAAGGCGTCGGGTTTGGATGGCTTGCGCGCTCGCCTCCTTGAAGTGGCTTTTAAAGAAAGAGAAATGTGGGGTGGCAACTGTATTTCTCTCACCTCAGCAACTCTCCTTGGGGGATTATAAGGGGAAAAAAACAAATGTCAAAGAGAGAGAAAAAGAGAAGGGTGTCAGTGGTGTTTGGTTAGGGTGGCTAGAACGGGAGCTGTGCTGAGCGCGGCGCCCAGCCATAGCGGAGGGTCATGGCCTCCGATATTGCGGGCGTGCGACCACGCCGCCCGCCTGCAATCTCAGAGGCCATGGGAGGGTAGTCCTCTTTCGCGTGATTACCGCTAGGGCACGACATAGCGCTACCGTCTGGGGCAGCGTAAGGCCCCTGTACAGGGGCCTTAGGGCGGCGTCAGCGTTTTCGCGGAGAGAGGCCATTCTGTTTGTCAGCGGTTGCCAGGGTTGCCAGGGTTTTTTATTGTTTATTTCATTTTTATGCATCGTTCTCAATTTTTGGGCCACGCAATGATTATTTTCGCTTAGAACCAACGACACCGCCGCTGCGAAGTTAGCTCTTCAACGCTATCGCGTTAAAACTCAGAGGTGCTGCGGCAGGCAACCGGCGCAAATGATCACTCGACTCCTGCTCAATTATTCATTATCATCAGGTACGTTTATATATTAATATACTCGTATATACTTCATCGTAAAGGCAGTTCATGGAATGGTACGTCTCTTATAATTTCGACACTTGCAAGTGCTTGAGCTTTTC